CACTGCCACCTCTTCGTCGTCCTCCGTCGCTGCCCCGATTCCGTTTCGGAATTGCCGCATGCTTTAAAGCCAGCTGGGCAAGCGGCGGCTTTGGCAGAACGTAAGGCATTTTTACCGCCACCTTCACGGGGGACGGGCTGCCGGCGGTGTTGGAGCCAGAGCAACGGGTGGCGCCTCCTGCGGCGTCACTTCAGCCATCTTTCCTTTCTTTTCTTTTTTAAAAAATCCCTTGCGTTTCGTCGTTGCGCCATCGTGTCCAGAGGGAGAAGGAGGAATAGCGGAGGTGCAGAAGAGTCCGACGCTCCTAAAAAAGCGCAGGGCAGAGCGGCTGCACGCGTGTGTGTGTGTGTGTGCCTGGAGGAAGGAAGATCCCCAGAGGCAAACTGAGAGAAAGAGCAACGTCAGTTTCGGCGCGTGAGGCACACGAAGCGAGCAACTTACATACAACAAAATATAACGAAGCCTCTCCTGCCCCACACTGCACCCGGATCCGTACCGCCTTCCTTAGCCCATCCGATTCTCTTCCCATGAGGTGCAGGGCGCGTCCACGCAGACCTCCTCTCGTCTGCGGGCGTGGCAGCCGGCCGCCGGCCGTGGCTAGGCTGCGACGGTAACCCGAGCCGAGGCACGGCAAGAAAAAAGGGCGCATGGCATGGGTGTGACACACACGCCCAGACCCCGCCAGTAAGAGCGGCTGTGCCGGTTCCATCGCACTCCCACACACATGAGTGGGCATGGTAGCCATGGTCCTAGTTTATGCAAGTATATCCCATACCTCCACGTGCCGTGTCGCACAACATCGCGCTGGGGGGATAGAGGGTGCATTCCTAATGTGCACTCGCGGAGCCACGCTCACAGACAAACAAAAACAAACCAACACCCACACCCACACCCCACAGGCGGCTATACAGCCACAACAGCAAATCGCTCTAGTTGCACAATAAACGGAGACAGGGGGCGGGGGTGCAATAACCACAGACCCGGATTATTCCTCTCAGCAGCTTACAGGAGAAGCTGCACTAGAGTATAAGCCAGGGGGAGGCTTTAAAAGTACTTGAACTTCGCCGCCCCTTACGGGGACCTCCCAGCAGCGAGGTTCGGGACACATCATTTGCCGGCAACGTGCTCGTACGGCTTCCGCGCGTTTCTCTTTGGAATCGTCGTGCCTCATCCTCGCGTCTCTGCCGCTCACGGGCCCTTAGCATCTGCTCTTCCCGCTTTATTCGCCGCGCGTTGATGAGGGCGTTTCGCTTGTTCTCCTTCTCCACAATGTTATTCATGGTCTGCTTCAACTTCTTCAGCTGCTGGAGAATGAGCTCATGCTCCCGATGCTGCTCTTCCAGCTCCACACGCTGTCTGGCCTCCGCGGTGCGCTGCTCACGCTCATCAATCCTCTCAAGCATGACCAGTTCTCTCTCCGTCGGCGGGCGATGCTCACTGAGGGCGCGGCTGTAAATCATCATGGCCCCCACGGACGTGGAGCGACTCTCAGGCCTGTGCGCAGTGGACCTTGCGAAGGGAGAAAAGGAGTGCCTCGAGAGGCTGAAGCCGTGCCTCCAGGGAGTGCTGCTACTGCGCGAGGTGCGTCCGTGGTGGTTCGACATACACATTGAGGCATGGTGGGTGTCGTTGACGCCGTCCGCTGGTTGCTTTGCCGCTGCCGCAGCTTCTTGGGCCATTTCCTTGGATTTTGCCTGCTCTGTGGCCGTGATTTCCGGCGTGCCTGCACTCTTTTCTTCCGCCAACAACCTCTCGCGGGTGCGGCGGACGCGTTCGAGCAGTTCATTTCGCCGGCTTTCGAAGAAGGCGTGCCGCAGCTGTGCGAGATCGTGCGGCACGCTCAGGCACATGAATTCCGCCACGCTGCGCGGCAGCAGCTCGGCCGGAGCCACCTCCTCCATGCTGCAGGCCTTCAGACTGCGGGGGCTGTTCAGCACGCCCCTCACTCTCGGCGCACGCTCAAAGTTGTCCAGCGAGACAACGACCGCGGGGTTGTTCGCGTTCCTCGCCCCTCCGCTCAGCGAGCCCGACGAAAGTTTTGGGGGGCGATGACCGAGTTGACTGCGACGCCCAGCGGACACTGTGTGCGGCGGCGAGCCGTTCACCGCCCTCGTGGAGTCTTCGTGCGATGACATTGTGGCGCGGATCTTCGCCGGGGGAGGTGCGTGGTGTGGGGAGTGCGCGGCGCGGGAGGGAGAGAGAGAGGGTTAGGGAGCGTGGAGAGCAACACGCAAAGGCACGCCGAATTTGTGCGTGAGGGGGCAACGAAGCAAAACAAACAAAATAAAAAAATACACCGATAAAATGAAGACGGAAAAAAAAGCACAAACAAAAAAAACATACGAAATACTCCGCAAACAACAACCGCCCTCTCAACCAAAAAAAAAGGCGGCCATGGAAGCGCAGCACCGGCTTGGGCCCTGCAACATCGCATGGAGGGGCCGTACGGAGGCCGAAAAGAACAACAATAACAACAGCCCCATCATCGAACCAACCGTCGTGGCGTTGGTGCTGGTGGCAAGTTCCCTCCACGAGGAGCCGCGACGCCCACCGGGCGAAGGCACCGAGTCGCCCAAAATCAAACATGGCGGAGACACAGGCGCTGGCGAACAAATCTGCGGCCAGCAGCCTGGAGCGATGGAGCCCGTTGCTGGGCTTGCCGCGCAAAACTACTGCGGCCGCAGAGAATATTTACCGGGAGGCGCATCGCATTCGCCTATCACTTCGGGCGAGGGCTGCT